AAAAAAAAAAAAAAAAAAAAAAAAAAAAAACCAAAAACGAAATACGTGAAGCACAATGAAAATAGTGAGAGGGTGCGAGGGGGAGGGAGAAAGATTAGGTTTCCAGGAGAAATAAGAGACGGAGCCAAATAGCACTTTTTAGGGAGAGGTAGGAGAGGCTCCAAAAGGTGAAGAAAGAAAAAAAAAAGAACGCAATAGCAAAGTTATAATGGCACGGCAAAGAGTTGGCCATTAACTTCCTATCAAATCTGAATATTCGGCACTGTGCTTCCTTGGGCTCCTGAGTCCCCTAATAAGGACGCAAATCCTACATCAACTGTTCTTACTACTTCTTTAATAAGAGCTTTGAAGCATGCGAGAACTGGAAATACAGATCTCTGTAGAGCTTTGTGCTTTCATTTTAAACCATAGAAGGAGAATGCAAATATAGGCAACTCATGTTAAGGCAAATAAACAACTTCAAACGCTTACTGAAATGATTCAGAAAGTTTCTGTGCAGGGTTATCAAATAACTATGGCTATATGATACCATCCTTTGTAAAAATTTACAGTTTTTCAGTTAAAGAAAGCTTCAGTGCAAAGCTTCTCAGTGAAATAATTACCAAAGTGCAAGCAGTTCTTGCCTCTCAATATTAATGATTGAATTCTTGTTCGTATTCTGTCTTTTCAGAATGTGTGCTTGACCTACATGTGGTACAAAAGCATAACTTAAATCAATGCCAGCAAGTTTGCCCAAAGCTTATAATATCAAGTGAAAAAATAGAATGTTTTAAATATATGAAAACAGTAAACCGTTTAACTCATAAAAACATCTGGAGCCAACACAGTTTGGAACATCATTTATATTTTCATGTATGGGCTAATATTTGCATTCGCTTCGTGTTTTTTGGGTTTGGTGGTGTTTGGTTTTGGGGTTTTTTGGGGGGTTTTTTGTTTGGTTTTTTTTTTTTAGCTTATGATTTATGGGGAAAGAGATCATATAAAATTGACCTGAATGAACCAGTGTACAATCCCTCCTCTTCAGGACTTTTGTAGTCTTGCTCACTTCTTTTTACATTGGAGGCTGAAAGAACCATCTTCCAGAGTATTTGTCAGAATGTAAGTAGGATTCTTGAACAGTTCTTTCTAGTGTGCGGTTTGCATATTTGCAATATGCAGATTACAGTAAAATCAGACAGATAGTCATACTTGGGGACCACCGTTTGGGTGATATAAATAGCAAGAACTTTGCTGAAGTCAGCAAAAAGACAGCAATTTACGCCATTTATGAATATTCTCCTTACTGTCGAAGAGAAAGCTTACAAATATTAATTCAGTTTATTTTAGTCAAAGATTTTATTGTACTCAAGAGCCTACCAAAGCAAGAGGACGAGGTTTTATTGTACTGTAATTATGATCAGTTCGTATTTTTCCATGGCAATTTGGTGAAGGCAGGCATCATTATTTACCCTTAGAGTCAATCCAGATTCACAACAGATGTATGTTTATTTTCAGTCTTTTTTTCCCTAATTTTTGCCTGTTTAACTCCCATAGAAGCAATAAAAATTATTTCTCTTGATACCTGTGCTGCGACGGAAACCTACAGATACAAGCAATAAAACAATCTGGGCATTATGCATCATTTCAGAGATGCTTGAATGCCTTAACTGAAAACTCTTGCACAGAAAATCTGACTGGCTTTCAAAAATACTGAATCCCTGTCTAGTTAAGAATGACAGTCATCACCTATACCATTCATAATCCTACAGTATACCAGTATCTTCGCTACACGTCGCCATAAAAACGTTTTGTTTGTTTTTTGTTTTGTTTTGTTTTGTTTTCTTTTTTTGTGAGAAATTACACTACCGCAACGTGTACCATAGCTTTACCATTGCATTTCTGTGGTGTACTTCCATTTCACTCTTTTAACATTTACATGTGTCACGGTTTAACACTTATCAGACACAATTTTTGCTTTAAACACTACAACTTATCTACAAAAAATTTAAGCCTGAATCCTGATTTTCAGCTACTTCTCTCGCATACATATGGATTCTGTTCTAATTTTCATGATCTCCAAGTATTACAAATTTTAAAGCTATGCCAGCAATTTAGTATATTACATAAAAGTTGTGCTGAAGTATGAGGCCCTCACTGAAAATGATTTGCAAGTTTGCATTACATCATTAAAAGTTATTTGAATTGCCAGCCCACTCTAACCAGTAAAATATCTTATGCTTCCTATTTAATTTAAATAAGCTGATGAAATATTAAAATGGTTCATGTACTTGAGGCTTCACACCTGAACTATGTTGTTTCAGGAATGCTTTTGGAGTTTAAGCTATGGGAAACTTGCATTCCATTTTAGATATTCAAAAGCCCCAGAATAAGTTCTCTTCAAAACTTTGGTCTGTGTTTGTTTTAAATAGCTAATTTATTTGCAAACTGAACCATCTTGCACAATACTATTTGTTTCCCAATCTGCATGTTATATTGCAATTTAACAATTGTTTCATTCTTTCTAGTATTATCTCCACTTAAGAATGCTGAACTAAAAAACAGTTATGTCAAGTCTTGTAGGGTACTTTAATAATACATATCTTTCATTTGTATTTGGAAATGTATTCAAAGTGCGTGTGCAGGCAAATCAATGATGCCTGAAAAATATGTTTTCCATTTTGTTTTCTCTAGATCTTGACAGTTAAGACACTACGCTCAGTCCATTCTCCTATTAAAATTACTAATCACAGAGAAAACAAAGGCTTGTATTTTTCATTTATTATTTGATACAATTTGCATTGTGGATTTTGATCTGTATATGTACTCAAAAGCCATTTTATCAGAGTCCCCATTGAAAATGCAGACACAGTTTTGCACGGAAGAAAGGCAAAGTGTATTTTCAGCACTCTGAAATTTTAACACTGTTTGCTTCTTACTGTGCTGCACAGTTAATATTTTGGTGATTATGCTTCAAGTTTTAGTCACCCAGGATAAAAAGTACAGATGATTTAAATCTTCATCCATCAAATGTTTTACGCTATGACTTATACCCGTTTATGGGGTAAATACACGATATGCTTACATTACAAAGACCAAAATAGAGGTAAAAACCTACCATTACCTGAAATATTTATTGTCCTCTGCCTTACATTTCCAAGCCCTTGCAGAACCAGCAGCAGGGGGCATATTTCTTAATTCTGCCTCCATCAGGGGACATTAGGAGAGTGATAAGTCACTAATCTTCATCACCTCTTTTACACATTAATGAGTAAAATACTACTCACAGTGTGTATTCCTCGTCATTTCTAATTTTCTCTGCTCTGGAAGGAGAAAAAGACATATATGCATATATCTATGCGCCAAGAATAAATAAATAGAAAATATCTAGGTTTTAATAGCTGCTGGGATTATGTCACTTACTTTGCAGGTGTGTTTGCTTATGATTTATAGTGTGATGAGCTCTAGACTTGGAGCAGAAACCCCTAACTAGCTAGTATTCGGAACAGAAAGATATTCACTTCCCCGAAGAGCTCAGGCTCTATTCGTTTCACTAGTTTCACGTGGGAGTACTCCTGTGTTTTTACAGAATCCTGTTTGTATTCATGGCGATTTGCTTGACTAGAAGCATTTGCAGGATTGGAACCTTAATTAATAATTGCTGTAGAAAACAAAGAGCTAAAAATTGCATGTACTTTTTTTTATGCATAGCTGCATCATGCCCCTCAAAGTCTAAGATCAGATACCACTGACAACAGATACTGGATAGGAAAATTTAAATACAAAGTAACAATTGTTTGAAATCATCATTTTAGGTTAACCTGTTTTGTTTTGGTTTGGTTTTTTTAAGATGCAGATATTATGGCTTGCAAAAGAATGAGAAAAGAAAATAATAAGAAAGCTAGATTTCCCTCAAAAATACATGCCAAGAATAGCTTAATTTCCAGGGACATCACCAAAAGACAAAATTGTATCTGTCTCAAAGATTCTTATTTGGGAAAGTAAATTTTAAGTTTGATGGCGTCAATAACGCTACTGATGTTAACAAAAAAAAACAAAACAAAAAAAAAAAAGGCAAGTTTTTAACTATCTTGAAGAAAGGTCCAGATGGTACACCTCAAGGAGATTGACACCTTCCAAAACTACATTTGCATGAAATCTTTTTTTTTTTTTTTTAATTTCCCCAAAACAGAATGTAGTTTTATTCATAAATATGTAAAAGTATTACACTACTTCTTGAAATTAACCTTTGCAAATATTTGTATTTGTATTTTGATTAGACATCGCATTTGTATGTCCAGTAAGGGACTATCTTTGAAGCACTTTCACATCATCTATGTATATAAATCAGACTTTGACACACTGAATCACTCTCAGGAGCCACCTTCCTCTCTTCACCGATGCCTATCTCATATATTTCCTTTAAATTAGATGACCACAATAAAAGTGTGAAGCTTATTTATTCCTACCCCTTCTTTTCCAAATGAAAAGTGCCTAGCACCGCGGGCTTGGTGAAGCTCAGCTGTACAGCGAAGAAGAGGTATATTATTTGGCATACTTTTCAGCTGACTGAAACACAAATGCAAAATACAGCACATGGGGACACTGTCTGGGTTTGTGCAATTCCCTCACAGGC